GTATATTTGTTCTGCTGCTCATAAGGTTTTAGTTTGGAAGCTCAGCTGAAGCTTTTCCACCATGGGTGACTCTGCTGGTATTTGGCATAGCTTCCAGCATCACAGCAACACTCAAGCCACCACAGTACAATAAACTGACAGATGAGTTGGTCTGTGTATATATGTCTCTTTCATAAATATATAAGTTGGGTCATACAATATTTGTCCTTTCATGATTAATTTATTAAGCATAATGTGTACAAGGTTCATCCATATTCCAGCTTGTAAAATTACTTCATATCTCTTTATGGTTGATAACTATTCCATTGTATGTGTATACTCATTTTGATTATCCATTTATTTATTGATGGACAGTTTAATTGTTTCCACCATTTATATGTGCTACATTATATAAATAGTTCTACAATTAACATCTGTGCACAGGCTTTTGTTTTTGTCCCTGCTTTCAATTCTTTTGAGTATGCAGCTAGGATTAGGATTGCTGGGTCATACGATAGATAGTTCTATGTTTGATTTTTTTGAAGAAACACCAGAATGATTTCCAGTACAGCTATACCATTTTGCATTCCCAACAGCAATAAATGAGGGATTCAATTCATTCCAATTTCTCCACCTCCACGCCAACAAAAACTGGTGGGTTTTATATTATTACTTTCACTACAATTTTCTGTATTAAAGAATGTAGGAAGACTATGCAAATTTTTTTGATATGGGAAAAAATACCTAGAGCTATTTCTCTTTTGAATAAAAAAAGAGGATGAGGACTGCAAAATGAAGAATGGTAACGAGTATCTGTAAGAAAAAGAAGAAAGCCAGTTCATAAAAATGCTTCAATAACTATTAATATATGTGAAACAATATCGATTTGCTATTAAGTACTGTTTTAAGCATATGACATATATTAAACCACTTAATCTCCACAGTAACACTGAGGTAGGTACTGTTATTATTCATGTTTTACAGATGGAATAGATGAGACTCCAAGAGGACTAGCTGAACTTCCTCAAGAGGCAGCTCTAGGAACCACACTCAGACACTAAGATCCCAAGAACCTTCACTTAACCATGATGCTATTTTATCTCATTATAAGACAAAAGGCCAACTGAAAGACATAATAAAATAACTAATATTTACTCTGCAGATAATTGTCACTCTTGCTGATTAAAAAACTTGTCCATATGCTCATAGCTATTTAAAGTGATAAAGGTGGAGCTCTGACTTAAATCTGTCTTACTTCAAGGACCACAGTTTTTCAACTATGTCCTAGCATGCCAACCAATTAATTTCTCAGTTTCTCAGTATGTTTATCACAATGGCCTTGGGTGTTTTTAATGACTCAGGGTTTGTGCTGTTTGCTAGAAGTGGCTAGGGATCTTGGAGAATAACCTATTGAGATTATTACTATTATGAAGTTGCCTAGACTTCTCAAGGGAGACTGTTTATTTGTTTTAAACATAAGTACTCAGAAACTCCAGATCTCTCCTTCAAGTCCATGTGTTGCCTAACGCCAGCAACAAAGAATCATTCCCACTAGTTATGAATTTACATATTTAAAAACACTACTTTAAATACAGACATACCTCAAACAGCAATATAATAAAACCACACGATTCATTAACTTCATCAGGGCTGAAATCATGTCTGTTTTCATCACTGTTGCATCTCCCAGCATATAATACAGTTTGTATCACTCATTGCGTCAACTAATTTTCCGAACCCATTAACTCGGTATTTATTGAACATCTACCATGTGCCATGTATTGTACCCGGTGGAAGGATACAACAGAATGAAGAATAAAGGCTTTGTTCTTACGAAATTTACATTCTGGTATGCCTGTGGGTTGGTAAGTTGGTGTCAACAAACAATACACAAAGAAAATGGTAAATATTCAGAATTTCAGGCAATGTCTAAGTTCTATGGAGAAAAATAGAATAGAATACAAGAAATAGGGAGAAATGCGCTGGAGAGACATGTTCTGTAATATAAGTTGGTCAGGAACATCTTGCTGGTGAAGTTACATTTAAGTAGAAAGCTCAAAGCAAATGAATACATCATATGGTTATCTGTGTGAAAACCATTCCAGGCAGAAGCAAAAGTCTTGAGAACGGAAAATACCTGGTCTCTTGCAATATAACAAAAAAGTAGCCCAGCTATACTAGAATCAACTAGGTAGAGAGAGGTTAAGTGCCGTTGAGTCGGTTCTGACCCAAAGCAACCCCATATAGGGCTTCCGAGGCTGTAAGTCTTTACCAGGAGCAGAAAAAGCCTCATCTTTCTCCCACGCAACCACTGGTAGTATCAAACTGCTAACCTTAAGGTTAGCAGCCCAACTCGTAACCACTACGCTACCACAGTTCCAGATAATGTTTTACATGCTCTTAAAAGACTCTACTTTTACTCTGAATGAGATGGAAAGTCCTTAGAGAATGCTGAAGCAGAACAAAATGATCTGACTTACTTCTTACAAATATCTATCTGAAGCTTTATGAAAGCAGACTCAAGGAAAATAAGGGCAGAAAGGAGACATGCCAGGAAGTTGTGATAATACATGATAGAAATGTCTAGTACTAGGGTGGTAGCGATGGAGGTGGTGAGAGGTGTTCAGATTCTGGCTATCTTTTGAAGGTAAACAAGATTTTCTAACAGATTAGATATGGAGTAGGAGAGAAAGTGGCAAATTAAAGATGACTTTGAGGAAGGTTGTTAAGATGAACAACTAGAGGTAGGAGTTACCATTTTCTGAAATGGCAAATATGGTAGAAGGAATAAGTTTGGAGATATAAGGAAAGAGATAAAGAGAATGAGGGTGAAGTGAAATAATGCATTTAAAGCACCCAGAACAGTACAAATACAACAAGCACTAAAAAGTACTAAGGAGTCCTGGTGTGGCACTGTGGGTTAATGTGCTAGATTGCAAGGTCGGTTTGAACCGCAAGGTTGGCAGTTCGAACTCACCAGCCACTCCTCGGAAACCCCGTACAGGGTTGCTATAAGTTGGAAAAGACACGACAACACTTAACAACAACAAGCACACACTAAACAACAAATATAACAAACATTAAACAAATGTTTCAGTATCCCTGTGTTCTGTTCAAAAGAATAAATTATGCAAATTGCATATAACTATATAATTTAATGACTCCTGATGTGATGCTGTAGGATAAGCATGAGACTGCAAACCATATGGTCGGCAGTTCAAAATCCACCAGCCATGCCTTGGAAACCCTATACAGTGTCACTAAGAGTCAGAAACGATCTAACGGTCACATGACAACAACAACAAACAAATGTTAAGCCTCTCTAGGTGCACTTCTGCACCACCCTAGCCTCGGAGCTTTATTCACTCACACGGTTAACTCAAACGTTGAGCCCGATATCAAATTTTAAATCAGCGAAAAGAATATAAAGAAACTTTCAAGATTGTCTAGTTTTTCACTAGAATTCATATGCCATACATTCAAGGAAAATAATTTAGTAAAATTCAGCTAAAAAGAAATAAAACTGTGAACAGCACAGAGAAAAATTACACTTGATAATGAAGAAAGACATAATCCCTGGCGTTAGTAACATAATACTTGCGGAACGAATGAATGATGCTTTCATTAAGACAAATTATAGTTATGAGCACCAAAAGGTATCACATAAGCATTTTTAGTGCTGTTCATATCAAATATAAATTTAGCTTGTGCTACAGCACATTTCCTCTTCAAGTTACATGCGATTGTTTTTGTTATGGGCTATCAAGCCAATTGTGACTCATAACGACCCTGTGTAGGGTTTTCAAGGAGTAGCTGATGGGTTTGAACCACCAATCTTGCAGTTAGCAGTCCAGTGCTTATCCTTCATCACCACACCAGGACTAATGAAATCATACAGTTATATTAAATTTACATCATTCTTTCTTTTGACTAGAACAAGGAAATACTGAATGGTTTAAAATCAGAAAAAGTGTACACCAAGATTGAATCCTTTCACCACACTTACTCAATCATTATGCTGAGCAAATAATCTGAGAAGCTGAATTATCTGAAGAATGTAGTGCCAGGATTCCAGGAAGACTCTTTAACAACCCGGAATATGCAGGTGACAAAACCATACTTGCTGGAAGCAAAGTGAACATAAAGTACTTCCTGATGAAGCTCCAAGACTACAACCTTAAGTATGGATTGTACCTCAATGTAACAATGAAAATCCTCACAACTATACCAAAAATTAACACCATTATATACAGAAAAAAGATTGAAGTTGTCAAAGACTTCATTTTACTTGGATCCACAATCAATGCTCATGGAAGCGGTAGTCAAAAAAAAA